TTATTACTGTGCTAATGTTTTCCCTAGTAATTATTCTGTATTTTTTTTCTTGCTATGGTTTGGACAAGTTCAAACCATTGGCTTTCATACTCCTCACTTAAAACGCTTTCATTTGGAACTAACACTAAAAATGGTCTTTTGATTTGTGAAAATCATCTATATGTTAATGAAGAACTGGGATTATTATTTCTGTATTTTCTTCCATCTCTGGCTTTCGATCATTGCACTTGCATCTAAATTCTGTCAAATCTGTTTTCCTAACAGCACTGATGTTTGACACTGAGCAGTGTCTCAGCTGGATGCCTCAGACCCAATTTGCGATTGTCGTGGCATTAATTAAATTCTTGGGTTTTATTTCCCATACCCACCAGTTAAATTGCTTTGCCAGTATGTGAAAGACTATAGGGAAAGAACTTCTCATCATCTTTTGAAACCGTGTCAGACCTTAATGAGGAGCGCAGCAGCCTTGGGAGAAGATCTTCCCCTTGATTCCAGTGGGACTAAACTTACAGCTTCAACAGGAGCCACGCTGGTGCTATCAGACTCGGCAGGTTTTGAAGCATATCACAAAATCTATTTGTTTGATAGTACTTGTGATAATCTTCTCAAGTTACGTCCTGGGGTGAGCATCTCATGGAAAAGATGGGAATTTTCAAGCTTCCAAACTGATACTGTGTCAGAAAGTTAGTGAAATTAGGCAGTGTAAAATTCTGAAAGTCAGCAGTCACACAGGAAAGTCCACTTAAAACTGTAGGATTGGGGCATCTCAGCCATAGTGCCACTGTTCCTCTTTTTGGATGGGATGTTTTAGGTAGTTTCACATTTACAGTCTTATGATATCCTCGATACTACATATTCATGCATTTCGGTGGACGTATATGCAGAAAGAGTAAAGCGCACTCCTGTTGCAGTCTTCAAGTAGTAAGCAGAGAAGGTTGATCAATGTAAGCTAGAAAAAAAATTGCTTCTAAGTTGTAGCTTGCTGAGGAGGTTGCTGCAGTTGTTCTTTATTTATCATATGCAGTCATATCCTTTTTACATCTGCATATTGAAGACAAACAGGGAGAGTGATTTTCTTAAAAACTATTGCTGATTTGGTTTGTTCAATAGGTTTGCTCTTTATAGGGCTACAGATTATGCAGTCATTGAAACTGCCATATTAAGCGTACACTTTCTGGATATCTGATTCTTCAAACCTTACAGAAAGGTGTAACGTTCACATTGTCAGTTGTTTATCTAAACAGTCTTTTCTGGAACAGTTGTAGTAACTACAGCCCCAGTAGTCCTACATATCAGTTGATCCTGTTTTGAACAGATTCTATCATTCTGCATAAGGACACGTACTTTATTTGTTCGCTTCCTGTGATTCAAATAACCTCAGGTGGTTTGCAGCTCATGTGAGTAACAATTACCATGGCCAACTCACTCCCTTCATGACACTTTATCGGCGTCCTCTCTCCATCGCATCAGATCCGTGATCTGTGTCCTCACGTGCAAGACCCAGCAGATGCTTTCAAACTGCTTGCCCTGTGTCCTCACATACGCAGTGCCCCTTCAACCACATGAAGTTCTCCTTCAACTTCTGTTTCTTTTTCCTACTTTTCCTACTGTCTTCTGTTAACATGTACAACCTCTTCCTGTATACAGCCTCTTCCTGGAATGGTTTTTCTGACCCAAGCATGTGCAGAGCTTTCAGTGCACTGTGTAGTCCTGTTGTACTCAGTGTGTTTCATGTAGTCTGAGGAACTGGGGCCTCCGTCCTTTTTATCCCACCAGATTTCAAAGAGGTTCTGGTTATGGACTGTTTCTCATTTTAACGTGCAAGTAGATGACAGAGTTTGACTATCTAGTTATCCATGTGTGTCTCGTGTGCATAAGCTTTGCAGTCAGATTACAAGCTATGAATCTGTTGTAGAGAAGAGATAAGGAATGTGAATACTCTGTATGCCATTTTGCTTCATTAATATCACAGCTCTTCCACCTTGTTTGGATTGAAATAGAAAAGTTGCCTGCCTGATGTGCTGTCATCTCTTTGCTCTGTTGCTAAACGTACATTTAAATTAGATATGTCAGCCTCCCAGATCAATAGTATGTTTGTGATTTGAAAGCATTTAAAAAAAAAAAAAAAATCTGTTTTCAATAGTTAGATTGATTTGAGCCATTCAAGCTATATGTTGCTGTGCGTCACACCAATAGTTGAAATGTGCGTAGTAATGGGTTATATCAAATTTTTAGCAGCAAAGAGAGGAAAAGGCACTGTCTTTTCCTGTACCAAACATCCAACCATAAGAAACTAATGGATCATACCAAGACCGGTGCTTGCAAGACGTGGTGCCTGAAATTAAACCTACTGTTTTTTAAGTAACTAAGTAAGTTACTTTTTAAGATTTTGTTTTTACACTACTAGCTGTTAGTAATTCTCCCCAGACTTAGCAGTCCCCTGGGTGCTCTGGTGCCGCCAAATCCTAGCAAAGCACATCTTTTTCTTAACTAGTATTGGCAAGCTGGAAACTGCAAAGCCCTTTTTTCAGCAATTTTTACATCCTGAACCCAGAGTTTGTAATCCAGAGGTTTTCTGAGGATGTGTTTTACAACAGCCCTTCTCATCCAATAAGCTTAAGAGTGACTCTCCCGAAGACCTTTTTCCTCAAGACAGGGTAGACCTTTCCTGAAAAGCTGGCATTTTTGCCATTTGAAGGGAAGTGAAGTTGCTCAAATGAAAACTCCTGATGCATTCTCATCTCTCTTATTCCTGTGTATTTAAAAGCTGAGGTCACTGTGATACAGATAAAATCCTGAGCGTATTGCAGAAAGGTGGGGGGGTGCGGAAGGGAGTCGTAGAGCAATATTTTGAAAATGTGCCTAAATATTTAAGATATGTCTTCTAAATGTTTGTATAGTTGGCAAAGTTTGAAGAATATGAGACTTGTTACGCAACAGCTTGCAGAAAACAGCAAGGTGGGCAAGTGCCCCACCTTCACGGTGCCTGAGGTAGCACCCAGCAATTTCACATTCTTCTAGACTAAGGTGCGAGGGGAACTGAGCTCTTCTCAGAGGCTGAGATTTTCCATGTGCCGTTTTCCAGTTGCAGTGGGAAAGATGCATCTAAATGTCCCCAAGTCACTTGGAAATTGCAGCCTTAATCATTCAGCAGACTGGTTGCTCTGAGGATTCTCTCAGTGCCCAAGCCATTAGGATTTCGAAGGATTTGCATTAGTGAGGTCTGGGAAGGAGGAAAGAATCCTTTCCAAGCCTTGAAGGTTGGCTGTCTCCCCTGGCTTTACCTCATACCACTAAAGTAAAATACTGGGAAAAAGAAATGTTCATTTTTCATAAAAGTATTATTTTTCATCAGTTCAGCTGAGAATTAGAAGTTTTAGCACATGGTTTTATAGATGAATTATTTCTGGACTCAACTCTTTGCCTAAGGAGATTACAGTTCGAAAGGGAAGACCCTTTGAAAGAAACCACAGGAAGAAAGACAGAGAGATACATGCATGCATTGAGCATGCTTTTAATACATGCCTTCAGAAAAATCCATCATTTCATCTCAGATGCTTAATCAAACTTTGATCAAGAGGCTAATTTATTCATGGATGTTAACCCCGCTTCCTTCAGAAGGGAAGACGTTGGAGAAGCTGGCCCAGCTCCGCAAATACGCATATCCAAATTGATATGCAACAATACTTCGACATTTTCTTTACTAGCTCGCCTATCTCTCTAGTTGCTATTTAGTTCCTCCAGGTCTTCCCGCTCATCATGTCTTACTATGACACTGATCCAACGAAGAACCTAAGCATTGTTTTCAGTGCAACTTTGGCACACATCTGAAGGTCATGTTTTTAAAAGTGTTAAAGGTGTAGGCAGGTGCCCAGGGAGATTTTGAAAAACCTGTGGAAGCACCCTGCAATGCACCCTGCCTGCTACAAGAAACTGTCACGCTTTGGAAATCTGTCTTGGCACTTACCTGCACGTTTGGCACCTGAAGCAATTAGTTGAATGATAGTGCAGGGCTGCAGTTGTTCATCATACTCTGGCTTTTCGTTAATGGAAGAGGAAAGCTAATAAGTGAACCTACGTGACAACCAGACAAATGCTCTACTGTGATGCCTTTCTTCATTTCTAGGTCGGCCTTTGCTAGAAATTCCCCTCAGATAATCAGATAATAAATCTTTCCCTAAGATTTGATTCTTTTCTGAGGAAGAGTCAGTAAACTCTTCTCCCGTCTCACTGCTGATCGTTATATACTCCTTTGTCTGCCATGGTGAGGAACTGGTTTCGGTAAATCTGTAGTGAATGAACTTGAGGTCCCCTGTTCTCCAGAGACTGTTGTTCAGAACCTTAGCTGGCCACACCACTTGGTGTGGAATAGGGACAGAGAGACCACTGCAAGCATTTTTTTGTAAATGGTGCTCACTTTGGTTGGTTGGTTTTGTTTTGTTTTAACACCCAGGGCCTGGCTAGGAGGGAAACTTTTGTGACTGAGATTTTTATTTTTATAGGGTGGTTTTTTTGGCTCCCATTTGAAGACACTTTGAAAAGGCACATTAGGAAAAAAAGAAATTATTTGATTGGCTGACTGCTATTGCAATCACCATGTGCTGGTATGCTAAGGAGCAGGGACTCTGGTTTTGTACGTTGATCTATCAGCTATATGCAACTTCCAACAGGCCGTCAGTGATTATTAATTGCACAATATGTATAAGCTATTCATCCTGTTGTTCCTTCAACAATTAGATGCCTCTCTTTTGTCTTCTTGGTTGTAGCTTCAAGATAAAACAACTTATTTTCGTTGGCCATAAATCCTAATGCGTTGGGTGGTTTTATTCTTTAAAAATTGAGAGAACTAATAAGATAATACTTTCTGAGTGATTACTGCACAACTTCGGGAGCATGACAGTAGTTTCATAATTCCTTGGGATCGGGCCTGTAACACCAAGGACTTGGCTTTATTTTCCTTTTATTGCTTTTATTTCTTTTCTTTTTCTTATTAATCTTAGCCTTCATCCCGAAATGCAAAAGGTGTACCCAGCCGAAGTTCAAACAATGCTGGGAGTACTGAGCGGATTCCACAAAAACCATCTTGGCTACGAGAAACATTTCTAAATGCTCCAACGCTGAGGGTGTCTGCTAACACCCACTGAAAGCAAAAGCAGATGGACCTGCAAGTTGGAGCTCTTAGGCGACGGCCTGCGCTGCCAGTGGTGGAGAGCCAGGGTGAACTGCAGAAAGGATGGCCCGAGCTCAGCTCAGGTGCCAGAGAGGGTTCGGTTGTGGCGATTCTGCTGCCCAGCCTGCAGCCACCCGCGCCTTCCTGCTGGCGCTGCAGCCCGCGGCGTGCCCTGGGCGCAGCCCGAGGGCTGCTGGGTGGAGATGGGGCCTTGCACGCTGGGATACAGACTGAGTAAAAGCCCCCGTGGCAGTGGTTAGGAAAAGGATGTCAGCGGTCATATGACACCAGTTTCAATCCTTTGTCTGGGAGTGCCTGGACTTCCATGATACACAACTCTCAGAAGCGTGAGCGAGTGTAAGAGATGGAGCGACACAGCTAATGGTTTCACTTTGACCTCGTCTTTTCTGTCTGATGAAAGACTCATTTTGTTGCGTACCTATTTGCACAGAAGCACACAGCAGTATACAGCAGGGGCGAATCAGTTCTGTAAACTCCAGTGTGTGGCAGCAGTGCAGTGTCTGGAGATACAGTATAAATATATGCAGCAACAGTTATCATGGAAAGTTCGGCCAGAGTTTGAGGAAACTGCACTGTTTCCAAATTCTGAAACCACCTGAGTTACAGGGGTCATCCCAGACAGGCAGTAACATAGTCTCTCCGTGATGGTATGATACAGAAGGATTTTGTAGGTTATTTTAACTATTTTAAAAAAAACAGGTAGCGATTCTCTTGTTTAATTTCCCATTTGTAGTTCTCAGTCCAAACTCAACAAAGGAAAGGAAATCTTTTGCACTCAAAGGTACATTCAGTCAATGATATGCTATGTCGTTTCAATGATGATACATTGTTAAAATCTGTACCTTTCTGTCCTGGAAGCAAAGGTAGTGTACTTTCTTTCCCTGCTGATTTTTGAAACGTTTCTTTGCACTGGTTAAGGTCCCATAGAGAACTGTTCTGCCCAGAGGTGAAGAGAGTTTGGGAAGAGGGAAGAATCCTAAACTTTGGAATGAAAAGGGAAACTTAATGTAGCAGTTAAGGGTTTGGTGATTTTAATGACATCCTCCTGAGGGAGCAAACTTGAGGCACACGCCTAGATTATGAGGACTGAAATATGTGGCCCGATTGAAGTCTTTCGGTTTTGATGGAAGGTGAAGTGCAATGGCTTGTGACATAACAGGATGATGAGACAGGGGAGCGGGCAGTTGGTGAGATAGCAGAGATGCATAGGATGATCATCTGGATCCCCCCACTGCTGCCTGAAGAATACTTATGGGGGGGCGGGGGGGTGGTGCAGACAGAGTAGATGTATCATGTGCTTGTTGTGTTACACATATTTTAAGTCATCTCTGATTCATGGATAATTCATGACCAGAAGAAAACTTTTCTGATGAGTAAGCTCTGTGCAACAAATTGTTCAACAGCTGTCTGTGTGTGTGTGTGTAAAACACAGGAAGAAAATCTAACCGTTTTAGATGCTGTTAGACAGACCAACAAGATGATCTATACAGCAGCTGTAATGGGGACAGGCAGGAGAGGTGTGCACTGGTAGTAGCTGAGAACATAAAGGGAACTGTGTTTTTCAGTATAAAAATGACTATTTTATATGAAGATTAGAGGTTCTTATTGTTCCGTTAAGAAAAAGGCTGAAAAACAGAATCACAGGATGATAGCATCTTTTGGCTGCAGGAATTCCAACTCTTGTGAAACAGAATTGCTTTCCAAGTCTTCTTTGTGTTGCTGCTGTTCTGACCGAGAAATATGCCAAGCCACGATAAACTCAAAATGCACCATTTAGTTAATGCTTCGATAAGAGCTACGTACAGTAGGAAAGCTTCAGACATGCAGCATTCTTGAGGCACTTCTAGCCTACATCATAGGACTGACATTTGTGTTATGCTCTTGTCCAGTCTAGATGTACGTTTCCCAGGCAATGTGGGTTTATAGTTCAGCGAAGCTTATTGCTAGTGTACTGCTCCCAATAGCCACTTTGCATTTATCTTCACCTCCTTTCAGTGCATTGCCCTTCGTGGTATGCCCACGAACTCACGAGAGCTGACTTAGAGGCTTGCTGAGCAGGCATACAATTTCACATCAGGTCAGTGGAAGCTGCAGGTACTCATCATTTTTGCATATCACTCTCCTTTTTCTTCCTTGATGCAGGGAAAAATGGGCAATCTTAGAGGCAGATCCCAGGCGGGAAGTGGAGCAGCCACGTGGCTTGGGGGATTATCAGGAGGAGAGAGGGTAAGATCGAAGGGTTACAGTGCTGAGAGGAGCTCTGCAAGCCCTTTGATCTCAGAGTTGCTCCAGCACGCCACTCATCGATGATGTTAAATGAAAGCAGGCCTAAAGTCAATCTCTGTGCCCCACTGGACACGTCCCTGCACTCACTGTGCGTAGCATTCATCGTCGGTCTTCGTGGCAGGGTCTCCCGTGCAGTGGGCTTGGCTGTCTGTGCACCCTCACAGCACTGGTTTTGTGGTGTCAGGTCAGGATCTCCGCCCTCCCAGGTGGTTGAGTTCACCACCCTTTTGCTATGGAATCACAAGCAAATGGGAATCAGCATGGATGTGCTCCTTTCAGAGCTCTTCTTGCCAAGTGTCACCTATGTTTAAAAAAAAAAAAAAGTGAAGGAAGGGAAAAGGAAAAAGTTTTTGTTTTTAAAGCCATACAAAAGGGAGGAGTCAACAGCTCAGGGAGGTATTTTCAAACTCTTGCTATTCCATGGCTTCATTGCCGTGGAGTAGTTGTAGTCCCAATGACTAGCAGCAATGCATTAGTTCTTTTCCTGTGCTTGTTGAACGTACTGGATGAGCATCAGCCCTCCTGCAACCAGTGGCAGTTTTGCCACTGTTCTCTGTTGAGCCAAATTTCAGGGTTTCTACTACTGCTTGGGAGAGATGCAAAGGAAAGGCTGCGTTCAGGAACTGTAGAGGGAAGGTGCTGGTGCTGGCCGCAGAGCGCTGCTGCAGGAGCTGTCCAGATCTGAGCGAGAGGGAGAAGCTGCATCTCTGCTAGGTTCAGACACATCTGGTGCTATCTGGCGCAGTGTCCATCCGTAAAACTGCCTTGCAGCGATGAAATGTCATTGCTGACCCCAGTGCTGATGGGGCTGTTTCCCAAGTTCAGTAATGAGATGCAGTGAACTACACATTAGCTAAATGGCAAAGGCAAGGCCAAAACAGTCTTAAAGATTATTTCTGGCTCTAGTGCTAAACATGCACTCACCATGCCAGTTCTGAGCAGGGAAGCTTGGCCACAGATTAGAGGCAGAGATCCCCGTTACTCCCAGTGCCAGTAGTATAAAAAGGACGTGTCAGACACTCGCTATCTACTGTGGTGACTCCTGCTTTCTAACTGCTTGTGCAGCAGGCAGTACTGTGCTTTCCCCTGCTTCTAGGAAACCAAGGCATGAATTGGTCCTGTGGGCCAGATGCTCATTTCTACCAATTTTATACAAGAGTTCATTGGAGTTACTCCTGATTTACAACCAGTCTGCAGAATAATCAGCCGTGTGAGTTTAGCTAAATGCTACAGGGTTTTAATTCAGTAGTGACAATATAGCACAGGTAAGCAGGAAAAAAATTGCCGAAATAGCTACTGTGCACAGTAGCTATGGACAAATCAAACTGCCTTGGTTTTCTGAAATACTCTTAACATATCTCACCCTACCCTGGCAATCATTTGATAAATATAGTTATTTCAGTCAAAGCTGCTTCAAGATGAAAAAGAAAAGCAAAACTCCGCATCTTTAAATTTCTTAGGTGGAAACAGTAGCTTGTTCTTGTTTAACCAGAGGTCTGTGACATGCGTCTTACTATGAAACAGCGGTTGGCATGGAGTCAGGCATATGTGCTGTATTACATCGTGTCATGTCCCACCGAGGCGTTGACCTCGTTTGCACCAGAAAGCTGTGGAAGGACTGACAGGCCAAATCCCATCCAAGTATGTTGCTACTTTGTCATATTTGGCAAGCGCATGCAGAATGCCAGTTTCCCCCCATTAGAATGATTACCAGTGCACTCCTACCGGAGGGCAGAAAGAAAGAGCACGCCAGGATAAAGGAGCTGCTGCTTCTTTTTTATTCCCGGTTCTAGTCTCCTTTATTGTCCTGCATCCCCCTATCTCCCTTTTCTGCACCCTTCTGCTGCTGCCCAACTAAAGCAAGCTGGTCTGTAAATTACCAGGAGGGGGTCTGAAGCCAGATAGTTTGCATCGCAAATTCATAGAACCGCAAACTGAAAAAAGCTGTTGAGCCATCATTGTTTATAATTAGTTTTTGACTGAAGTCCCAGTCTGCTATAGGGAATGGTTTTATCTTTGTGTTTGTGTGGGTGGGAAGAGAAAAGTAGAGAACTGAATCAAGGAACCGATCCTTATCCTGAGGGGAAGAAAGATTAGGGTAATATAATCTAACCCCATGGGATCAAAGGTGGGGCCAACACAGACATAAACACCTTTACACTATGTTCTGTCTCCCTGATTTTGCTGATTTAAATAGTACATAGTAAGTTGGGACAACAAAGCTCTTACCCTGCAGATGCACATCTTCTTTTCTTTTGGTCAGATGGTGACTGGCAACCCTCAGTTTGTTCAGTGTCTGAAGCGCTCTCCGGTCTGTCCAGGCCTGATGCACCATGGCATTTCAACCCCTGGAATAAGCTGTGTAAGAAGTTCTTCCATAACAGCTCATTTCCCACTGTGGAATAAGGGAAAAAGGGGGACAATCACACACTGAGGCATCAAAATCCAGTTTGTAACCTTGCCAAGGATTTGTCTCTAGGAAAACGGTTGTCCATCTCCCTGAACGTGAGCAGCCACAGGGCTCCAGTCAAAGCACCCCATCTCCTGGCTGAAGCTGGCAACTGGGGCTCTTCGCTGCTCTGCCATCGGCCCGCGTATCCTAGGGAAAAACGGCCAAGATTTTTTGTGCCCTGGCTCCCCCAGCCACTGATGAGCTGTAATAAAGCCTGCCGTACATCTCACAAGAATGTCAAGTGGTTTAATGCATGTTTACAAAAGGACCCAGAGATTTTTGGATGAAAGACATTCTATAAGCACCATGTGGTTTGATGTGCTGCCATCTTGGTACCCGAAGGATAACTTTAAGGATACAAAAACCTGTATTCAGACTCCTGTGTTCTGGGAAGGCATCTGCCTGCCTGAAGAACGAAAATCTGCTCAGACCAGAATTAGCTGATGAATTAAAAAAACCTGCCTCGCATATTTTAGTCTGTGTTCCCAAACACAGTGTGCTACTTGTTATATACCACTGCACCAACAAGTCATTGCCTAAAAAAAAAAAATAATTAACAACAACAAAAAAAAAAACTTCTTGCAGTTGGACTATGGGCACTGCTAAGTCTCTCATACTCCACATACTTAAGTGCTGTGCTGAAAACTGTTACATTTGTTCTAAAACGCATGGTAATCAAACAAAATAATAATAGAAAAAATGTACACTGAATTTTTTTTCTTTGGCATTTGATCATGTTCATCTGATAGCATGTTTTAATCTCAGGATAATTTAAATATTTAAAGCCACATGGAATTCTGCTACCAAAAATTAGTTTGATTCAATTGGGATTATAGTGACTCCTAAATAGCACTTACTGCTGAAGTTTAGTTTAGTATTAATTCTAGAGAAAGAAACACAGATAAGATGGGATTCCCTAGGTCCTGATTTCCAGCCCCCTCTTCTTGCAGCAGCCTCGTGGTAGAATGCATTGATTACAGTGAGCAAGTTTCACCTTGTAATAGTAACTGGCAGGGGAGAGGCTGCTCCAGAGAAGCCTTCTCCAACCCCTTGCTCCTCTGGTCAAAAAGTTCTTCTGACCTCCTGCCTATTTAGGCAGTATTAGGAGTATTTCCTGCTAGCATATATTACTTTGTTTTCCCATTAACATTGTCCTCTAGCTGCAGCAGCCCTTCTCATCCTACCTGCTGAAGGTGGGTATGAGGCTTATTATATCTCTTGATGTCATCAGTTTTCAGTGAAGAACATGAATAAAGGTATGCAGGGGAAATTTTCTTCCGTGGCCAGACATCTAGGCTTCCTCAAAGCAGCTGCTGTCTCGCTGTCTGCTGGTCTTTGTTTTAGAGGACATGGGAATGCCAAGAAGCTCGGGGCTTCTATGTGGGAAAGGCATCCGGAGAGTTGCACGGGGCACTGCCCCATTCTCTTAGTCCCCAGTACAGGGTTCAGAGAGATTCACTTCATTTTGCCGGTGGACTTGGGGTTTACGTCTCACATCTAAGCACGTGATGGCAACTAATTTGTCATGGAGTGAAAGAGTCCATAAGAAAACTGTTTGTACTAGACATTGACTTCCCAGCAGAAAGGCTGTCTGAGCTCTGATCTTGTATTCACTGGCTTAAATGGGGAACTATGGTAGGAGTAGGGTTGAAAACTTGGCAAAATGCAGGAAGTTATTATCTGACAGCTAATTGACTATTTCCGCCTTCAGATGTTTAATTTCTTTTTAATGAATATGGGGAAGTCTTTGCAGAGAGACATATATATCCACACACACCCCCTCCCTGAATAACGTAGAGCAATTCCTTCCTAATCTAGTAGTGGTTTTCCAGCAGAAACAATCTCTGTTTGTGCAGTAGGACTCATTAAACAAGTTGTGTCCTGGGGGACAGGGAAAAGCTGTATGGTGAAATAAGGTAACTGAGTAGAGAGTTAAAAGAATCTGTGTATTTAATTTGTATATAAGTTTGTGCATATTCTTAGATTTAAACAGTGAATGAAAAAAAACATCTGTTTACCACTTAACATGGGTACTCAGGAGCATTAAATAATTCTATAGATGACAAATTAATGTGACCAATTAGCATATCAAAGCAGTTATTACTGCTAAGCTGAACGAATTGTGTCCACCCACCTTTCACTCCTTTTCTGCAGGCATCTAAGCATTAGACTGCACAGAGTTCCAGAGGGCAGCTTCTACTTGCGCTAACTCGCTTGCTCAAGGACAGAACTTTGTGCTGAGCACGCTGTTTTATATTATCTGGCTGTAATCCAAGGCTATCGACTTCAGTGGCAAATCACCCACTGACTTCAGCGGTGCCAGGATGAATTCTGTTAAGGGTGTTGTAAATTCATCTCCAAGTCATTATACATTGCTCCATGCCTACCAGAGGTGTTCAGGATGTAAAAAGGTTTAGTATACGTAACAGTGAGGCCTATTGTTTTGCACTCTTTCAAAGCGAGGAAGAAATCAAGGCGCTTTAAAAAACAGAACCATCTATCTAGTTGGAATGGAGAAGTTGGAATCCTTGCAGAAGGCAGGAAAACTAAAAGGTATTTTCTAAATTTCTTGAATCCTCCTTACACACAGAATGATTTCCTGACTTCCTCCCATCTCCTCCCAAAAGATACGTTCATCTGATCAGCAGCAGAAATGCAGTGTGCCACTTCAGTGATCAAATGAGTATCCCAGCGAGGTACGTGTAGCAGTGCCATTGCATCGTGCAATTTTTAGGTACATCTGAGCTGAAAAGGTTTCTAAACAAATACTAACAACGAGCATGCAAATGACAGCCTGTTAGTTGGCTGTGTGGCAAGTACCAAGCCCAAAAGGGCTGAGGTGAGGTGATAAAAAGTTTGAGAAGTCAAAAAAACAAAAGTGTGAGAAGGCTCGGGGAATTCCAGCACCTCTGACCTGGGAGAAAGACTGATAAACTGCTGAAACCGTCCTGTGCCCATTTTTTATTTGACATAGCAGGCTGATTCCTTTTGACTATTGTTTAGCGCCGGACATTTTGGAAACTACCGGGCACAGTCAGTCTGATCGAACGGTTTGCTCCAGAATTAATCCCAGGCTGACACCTACAGCTCTCCGGGGAGCTGGAATTTTCCTTGGGGAGCTGGAGTTTAGCCCCTCCCGCTGTATCTGGCCCACAAGGAGACTTCCAAAAACTCCTTACTACCAGAATTATATTAAAAACACGAGAAAGGAAAACAGTAAGGCAGCAAGAGAGTTCCAGTGAGATCCTAAGGGGAAACTGTCGGTTCCCACATCTGGTTTGCAGATCTGTGGTGGTCTGGGAAGCACTTTCAGGTGGTCTCCAGAGCTGTTTCCGTTACAGTAGTAGTACTCAAGCACTACCACTTCCCGCTAGTTATAGCCCGGGCTCTGAGTCTTTTAGTAACACTAGTACTGAATGGATGAGGAGGCAGCTCGGGGCCTCAGTTTTGGTTTGCCAGAGATCAGATATGTAGGACCACATTTGGACAGGTTTTCTAATATTTAGTAGACTTCTGCTCCTCAGTGAATCTGTCTGGCTTTCAGAGTGGCTGTTGTGGAATCAGGAACTACTCAGCATGAATAAGGAGGTCAGAATCTGCCCTATAAGCTGGAAGAATGACATCCATTAAAAGTACAGCATTTCTGTTTCACATTTTCACAGCTTTTACAACTGGGATAGAAATGTCAGCACTTCAAATTCCAGCCCAAATTACCAAGTGATTGCAGAAAATGCCTGTGGACTACTCTTCAAGAACAGAAGTGATAGGAAAATAATAAATGTGGATCCCAAGGTAAATGTATTCCCCCCCCCCAATATTCTAAATTTCCTTTATGCAATGGAGTTTGACTGCTAAACTGTTGAGTCCGATTGCAAATAGTGTCTTTATCAATACACACCTAATATTTCAAGCTTACTCAGACATGCTGTTCCCCTTGTTAACACAGCTGCTCTGGTCCCTGTCAGGATAAACTTAGCCTACCTTGTTTATGACTGAGTGTGTCTAGGCCTTTCCCTTGTGACAAAAAAAAATCACAAGTTTAACTGACTGATAAAACTGAAAGATTTCCAAAGCAGGGTTTCTCTTACACCCTGCCCCTTTGCCTGCCCTTTTTCCTTTCAACCAGAACGAGCAACTGTTGCTATTACTGCCAGGATAGGCTGCAGGCTGAGGCTATGTCTTATTAATTGAATTGCCGAGAAGTTCTAAGGAGAGGAAAGCATGGGAGAGGGAACAGGCTGAGGAGGAAAGCGGGACTGCCTGGAAGATGTGAGGACTGAAGCATGGGAGTGTAGAAGCAGGTACATCTGGTGTGAAAAGACACTGTGTTTTTCTCAGAGGATGACACATGTGCCTCTAGCTAAAAAGAAAAATTGCTAAAATGTTGGCAACGCATCTGGGGCTGGTGGTCCCTGTATTCATCTCCTCTTAAAAATCAAATCTCTATTATGAAACATGCCTGCAGGTGGATAAAAATGAATAAATATTAGGCCACTTTGAAACAAAAGCTGCAATTTGCAGGAACTGTAATATCCCAAATCCTGGCAGGGCCTGATGAACACCAGCAAATCCAGAAAGCAGAATCAGTTCCTGCATCTGAAGCGTGGGCCATCTCCCGCCCCAGCAGTTTTGCAGTGGTGAACTGAAACTGGCAGAATTCCTTTCCCAACCGCACACAATCCTTATTCTTCCTCCTTAATACAAAATATTTGAGAAGTCCTAAGGAAAGCGGCCCCATTAAGGTCATTTAGTTCTTGTAGCAGATTGAGATTGTCACTGGCGTAAGGGTCAAACTTGGATTTTAAACCCTGTCCCAAGCAAAAGATAAATTTGACACTAGATGCATCTTCCTGTGGAGAGACAGCTGTGTTCCTCCAGCATGCAGTAAATGGTTCAGAAGGATTTACAACTGAATAAAAGAAAGGAAGATACTTGTGCCTCAGTAGTGCTATACACTGGATGAACGTTGTGGACTCTGTGTCTCATATATGATTGACAACACAAACGTATGCTTTGCTTTCACCTAAAAATGGCTCTGATCCTATTATTGCTGAAGTTGATTGGTCTCTACCATTTATTTATATAGCAGTTCAATCCAAACAAAGCAAATGATCGAGTCATACCCGGACATCCTATTTTCAGGCATAGTTGAAAGCTGATTAAATTGCCATGGGTATTTTATCTTTCATGTTGAGAGCTGAATGGGTAATAACATTATAGACAGCTTCCCTCTGTAAGAAACCGACTGTGCTCCTCTGGTGCCAACTGCACTTTTTTAAACTTTACAACTGAAGCCCTTGGACTATAGATTGGATGTGACAAACACACCCAGGCTTTGGTTACCGTCAAAACCAACGTGAACTAAGCTGGGCAATAATTTGTTTGGGTTTCTACAGAACTGATCTAGGATGGTGGTTTCTTTGATGTGCTTCCCATGAAAGATGGTTGCATATGAATAGTAACAGTACAAAATATCAGATTATATGCATTTCAAAATAAGTGCATTGGTTTGTTAGAAATTCAGAAATGCATACCTAAAAATGTGTTTGGTTGCATTGAAAGTGGACCACCAATCCAACTTCGTGCAGCTGCAGAACATCTGTAACAAATAACCAGCTCTTTAGAGTCAACGTGAAAGATCCTCCATGTGCCAAAAGCACCACATGAAGAAGCGTTTGTGTGTGTACGTTGTGTCTCCCCAGAGGTTGCAGGGCACAGGCCTGTGAGTCCCCATGAGATCCATCTGGCTTTGGCTTTTTTGTAACGCTCACTGATGGAGAACAAGCTCTTGAGAAGTGCTTGCTATGGGCCAAACTGAAATCAGCCCGAGTTCTCTCTCATGGGGTTCAGCTTGAACAGACTTAGTACCAGCTGCCTGATCTTTGCAAGTGGGTCTTCTCTTTGACCAGTCGACGGTCCGCTTGTTCCTAGTCGTATTTAGCTAAAAGAACTCTATCGCTGTTTTTGCATCTGCTAAAAGCATTGCAGGAGAAACAAACTGCCCAGTGCCAGGACATTAATGAGAAATCCCCACCCTCAGAGCTAGTTGCGTTTATTAAACTTTATGTTCCAAGGGAAGAAGAAGAAAATTCATGACGTTAAAAGCCATGTCTTTTTCTCTCTCCTGACTGGGTATCTGTAATATTCTGTGTTTCAGGCCGACCCGGGAGACAACACAACACGGACGCCTGTTGAAACAAATCTCTATCTCCATATTGTTATCTATGACCATATCATCAGAAGAGGGACCTAAGGTCCATCTGTGTGGCTCTTCTCCCAGTGATTTGTTAAGCTATTTTAAAGTCACCTGGAAGAAAAATAAACAGTTGAAAGATCTTTACCTTGTGTTCAGGGGTAGGAAGGGGGATTTTTATACTGGTTTAGAGTTGGTTTGTGCTTCGATCCTTGAGTGAAGTAAAGTGGAAGGAAGACCCCATGCTGGCTGTAGAGTCCATGTACCTGGGCCCCGTGTTTGTCCTTTGTGAAGTCCATGGGGTATGTGAATTGCAAAAGCACCTAAAGGGAAGACGGAAGGTTTGGACCCAACTTTTCCCACTACTCCTAAGGCAGCAGGGCGGCTGGGACAGAGGTGCTGCATTCTTTCCTGGAGTAAAGAAAAGAAACTACTGTCCCAGCAACAGGATGTTTTCAGTTCTTCCTGGGAGACTCTTTTTCAGGTAGGCCTGGACCTCTGTTGAGCAGCTAACACCATGTAATATGGACCTAGCCATTCACAGGGTAGCAGGGAGAAGTTGTACCAAATAGACTGGTAAATGTAAAGAAATCTGCAGCATTTTGATGGCATTAGCGGTTTCATGACGGCCACTTTTCATCCATTCCTGCTCTCGCTGCTGTTCTAGTACTAACTTGCTAGAAGTTCAGGCAGCAACGCAATGGCCCAAGGGACTCTTCCATTCCCGGGGCACTTGGGGAAGTTGCCCGTACTTACATGACCCAGCTGGTATAACCACCAACGTAGCTGTCTGCTTACTCGAGAACTGGAAAATGGCACAAAGCTAAGCAGCAGGAAGAACTAGCAGGAAACAAAAGCAATAATTATGGAGAAAAGAAAAAGGATGTGGAGGTGAAGGTAGAGGAAACAAAGGCGGAAAGTGGCTGGATAAAATTCCCTGGACCTTATTCTTTAAGGGACTGGATGATTTTAACGATCTTTTCTGGCCTCGGTACTGTGAATTTGTGAAAAGGATAAGTGAGGAAACTCAGACGAGAAAAGAGATGGTAGCAGCGCTGCTAGGCTTACCATAGGGTGGGGTTTATCTGCCAGCCTCATCACAAGCATGTTCCCTTTGGAAAAGGCTGAGAGCCTCGGTCTTAGCAGTTGGCGCATTAAAGATCCCTTTACTGCAAGGAGAGGGAGTGTTCCAACAATTACAAAGTGAAAGTTGTTACTTCAAAGCTGCAATAATTTGGGAGAGACTTAGAAGCCTTGTTTTCTTTCACATAAAACTTTCAATGTTATGAAGTTCTGCCATCTCCAAAATATAATAAAATCTTTTACTGTGACATTTCGCTTTTGTATAGAGCACTTCATCCCATAGCACCCTGAAATTTTTGCAGCAGATATGCAAACCAGAGGTTAGTTTACTCGTCCCTGAACCGCAGCCAGGTTGCGGAGGAAGCACCCAGAGCATGGCAAGGCAGCTCCAGCTTTCAGGCCTCATCTCCTCCACCGAGCCTCTGCCTCTGCCTCCATAGCCGGGTCAGCAGAGCCCCCTAGCGCAGACGGAGCAAATGCCGGCAGGAGGAGCTTCCCTGCCTGCTGCGGGCAGAGAAACCCGGCACCCACTGGAGCCCTACGCGTCAAAGCGGATGGAAATACCGAGCTAGCCTGCTCAGAGGACAAACAGGCGAAGGCAAATGATGCCCCCTCCCAGGGCTATTAACGGACGGAGCAAAAGCCCGAGACTGCGGTAACTCTTTGATTTTGCAGAGGGCCAGTGGGTTGTCTCCGGAGGGAAGACCTTGCGCTGTTAGGGCAGGCTTCTCCTGGCCTTGGTGCTTCTAGGTGTTTCCCTCATTTAGCAGTGTCAAACATAAAGATTTCCATCGTTCCTCGTATCACACCTGAAAACTAGGTTTCTGTCACTGACTCGGCTTTGCTTTACTGCCCCTGTGTCTTGAGGCAGCTCAAGGGAAGGGCTAGCTGTTGCCTCACAAATATTTTTATAGCGTTAAAGCAAAATTGCCTTTATAGTACAGCTTAGCGTTTGGGATAGATTTTTTTTCAAGAAAAAAAAATCGGAACTCCTGAGCCATTTTGAAAACACTAGGTTTTGCTTCTCTTGAACGCTGGAGAGGGAGAGATCCTCATTATGAAGGCTGGTAGGAGGGACAGTTGGTGGAAAGGGTATGAATTGTATTTGTCATTCCTCTTGACAAATGAATTGTCATTTTTCTTTCTTAATCTAATCGGATTTTAATGTAATGTTAAAAAAACCTAAGTTGAAAAGTGGTCCCTGCAGTTTGGAGAGCATTAGCGCAGAATCATAATAAAGAAATAAAGAAATAACATGAAGTAGAACTTAATAGAAGTAAATTTTCAACTTTAGAAGTTACTAATTCAGCTTCCTTTGTTTTCCTCTTATTACTCAACACTCTTGATTCGAAAGAACAGCAGGAAGTCCAGGAGAATCCTATGTCTACATCTGCAGGCAAATGGAAGGACATGTGGATCTAAGTGGGCTTTACGTGTTTTTGGGTCAGTGATCGCACCAATGCACTGTGTATCTCTAAAGATAGGTAACTGAAAGGCTGTAAGGGTGTAGGAAGCCTCATCTTTCGCAGTTGGTGCTGACCTCCTATGGAATTGTAATTTCATGTTATTTCTGACTTGGGCAATAATCCTCATTTGCGACAAAAAGTAAATGTGATATCTGCAATGAAAGAATGGTATTCACTGAGTAATTCACAGAATTACTGGCTGCTCAGTAAACTCATTTGATTCCTTCCCACCCATCCTTGCCTATGAGCTAATCTCCTGGTGTTCTGTCTCTTCTGACATTCAAAACCTAGGACCCCAGAGCGTTATCATAAATGAAAGCTCCCGAGTTACACGTTATAGTCCTTTGCCAGTCCTAACAGGAAGAAACTCTAGCCTCTGCTGTAAGTGAAAAAGTGTCCCCAAATACTTCTGTAATCTGGCTTGCATTTTAAAGAAAATGTTAATTTTCTTAGACAAACAGGATAGTGCATAAAGCAACTAAGCGCTGTTACGCTCCATCTCCCTAAAATGTCAGTGGTGGTTTTTCCCAACATCTTGTCACTGTTCAGCCCTGGGTAGACACACAGTGAAGTGGACATGCAAAACATATGGTAATCGAGAGAGAAGCTTTCCAAGGACTGATAACCACATGAAAGCTTCCTGTATATGTTCTTATGCTCTGTGACTTTTTAGCAGAAACAAATGCAAACTGTCCAGCCTGAAATTATTGCCTGCTATAAATGTAAGGTGAATGGAAATTTTTCTATTCTGTTCTGAAAAGAGACTCTGGTATCATCGCTGACCGTGACATTTACTGCAGGTACAGAGTTTGCACACTTCCATAAGATAACTGATTTTAGGCATTGATGGGAAAGTGCATGCTTGCAAAGGATCCCCAGAACTCTAGGTTTTATACCGGGGGCGTGGGGGTGGGGGGTTCAAGCATGTCTAAACTGCGTACATGAGTTACAGTCTACAGATTTTATTAGCCTGTATATGTTTTGGATTCTTTTGTATTTCTCACACACACACCCCGCTGCCAAAATCATACTTTTGTTCTTTTTATGTGGAGTCTGGATCTTTGGTCTTGCAACAACGTTCGGAACTACTGTTGTTGTTATTTTGGATAATAGAGTGAAGCTGAGAAGTAGCATGAGATTGGTGGTGAACAGCTCCATCCTGAGCCACAAGCAGCATCACAGGAAGAGTTATTATTTAGTACAAAATACAATGCTTTGAAAAGTCATTTTACTCCAAAATCTGAAGTTCTTTGTTCTTTAACTGTCACAACGTGATGCTTTGACGTAGTTAGAAACTTTTCGTAATACGTGAAATGAAATTCTGGTGAGTTCAGTGTGATTTTATGGAGACGCATCAGCAGCTTTGCGTTCTCTGACTAAAAGTGGTTTTGTGGAAGGCCAGCTGTCTGAGGAATCCAAGCAATGGCAGTAATTAAGCCCCACTTTTGAATTTGGTAGCTGTACAGTAAGGTATTGGCTCAGAAAACGCAGCAGCACTTCATGAACTCTAAGTTCGTGATTCCAGCAGCAGCCTTGCCAATCTAGCTGCATCTTCAAAGCTGAAAGAAGGAAATGGGGGATGGCAGCGCCACCTTAATAGCTGACCCCTATCTCATGTAAAGAACAAGAAGGTCTCCAGGCAGCGTACAACTTGGTCGTTAGATGTTCTCCTTTTGGTCATGAGTGAAAGAGGTTGTAGGGGAAAATCCTTCATTAACTCCGACTCCCCACATACAGAAAAGAAATCAGATTAAAAATGAATAAAACCTTTAGGCAATTCTCTGCAAGGCAGGCAGGGACAAGCAGTGCAGGCCAAGCCACTGTTCCCACTGCAAAGAAAACAAAAACACAGGTGCTGCATGTACTGAAGCCATGCAGATTAGCCCTGTGTGCAGTACACGCTCTTTACAAGAAGAAAAAGCATCACTCTTGTTATTTGGCTATTGTTCGCTTGAGGCATGTTTTATTTCAGCTCAACTCCAAGCAGAGTTATTACAGATCCCACAGCAGAAGTTCTCTGTGATGAGAGAAACATGTGATCTCCAGGCCCTAGAGAAGAAATTATGCTGGGAAGGCACCTCCAGCGGGAAGGCTGATGCTGGCCACCTGAGCAAACACCCAGTCTAGCGAGCAGAAAAAAGCAAGCATAATGGATACATGTAATGGCTATACACAGGAGTGGTTTGGTACAAGTTTCTCACTGTGTCCCTGCGTAGCGAAAGACTATTTTCTGTACACGTCTCTAAGACCAAGAGCAAGGAGATTCAAAGAGAGCAAGCACCACTTTGTTCCCCGATAAAAGGGGAGAGCCGGCTCTGCATGTTGCAGTTTGCGTGGTGCGATTCCAAGCACTGCTGGCTGATGTGCTGTTCAGTGTTCTCCCGTGCTGGTTATGAACTTCACGGTGTTGTACATGGGAACGTGGGTATATAAGGGATGTAGGGGAATGATATGGCTTAGGATAAGTGAGTCATTCAGAGCTGACTGTGGAGGATTTTGCTGACTGGGTCACAAGACCGAATCCAGTGAGAAGAGACAAGGTTTCTCTGGAGCGATGGCTTTTTGGGGGCAGGACGACACACCTTAGCCAGACGTTATGGATCTAGTAAGAGTCGGGGTGACTTTGTGGGGTTGGAGACATGCTGCTGGTGGTGTCACTGCCTCAAAGACTTGGTGGCAGGAGCCCTGCCAGAGCAGAATACACAGAAGCCCATCTGAGACAGACAAACAGATGGTGCAGTGGGCTGGTGCAAGCCAGCAGAGGTGAAGCTGCAGGGGGGTATTCGCCAGATGACAGCGAGGAGAGCTGGATGTAGGAGCCACAGCAGCGGAGATTGCTTTTGTAAGTAAATTCTGGAAAGCCTGAAAGCCAGGCAACTAATAAGCGCAAGTGTGGGATTGGCTTTCACATGCTGAACAGATTTTGCTAATATTACTTTGTTATGCAAATATGTAATTATTTCATTTCCCCCAGAAGGAGTATTTGTGGTTTCCTCTTCCCCAGGACTTCCGAATGCTTGCGTGGAGGGAACAAATAACTGTGAAGTTACCAGGTATGTGCATTACATGCAAGCTCTGAAAAAGCAGAAACTTGGAAGGTTTTGGTGGAGGTTTCAAATAGCAGTTTTGAAAGGGGCTGCTGGAGGGTGGTGAGGCTGGCCTTGACAATGGCACCTGAGTTGCTCATCATTTAAATAAACTTAATTAAGATAGAAGCCTACTGTGTGCCCGGGGCTAAGGAATAAAAAGGCTAGGTTGCTTCACAAACCGGAGACTCTGTGATGTATTGGGACGGAGCTGTACTAGCAAGGAGCTGCTAGGGCCCAGCAGGGAGGGAGCAGGATTCGTAGACCCGACTGGAGCTGCGCTGGCTGTAGCTCGAAAGGATGATGTTTGTGGATAACCTACCCTCACTGACGCAGGCAAGAACAAATAAGAAGCACCCACTGACCCTCTCTTTCTATAGTACCGTGGTAGAGTAAGTATAGGTGGGTGACGAGCTTCGAAAGTCCAGTCCTGCCCAATTGTAAGGCAAGTAACTTTTGTATTACTAAAGGGGAAAAAGGCAGTCGGGCTGTCTTACACATAGCCAGAATTTCAGATAGTGTCAGTTTGATTTTGTGTCAAATATCTGCCTGCAAGTACATCTGTAGACACACACACGTGCACATGCATGCACCAGCTGGAGTTTGGTGCCTACTTCTAGAGCGGTATTATTTGACCTCTTGGCATTTTTCCTGTTTCTTAATAGAAGGGGGAAGCCAGGGAGGAAAAAAAAAAGTTACACATTATCTGTAGCAGTCCAAATTGTTAGCTCCACAGATGGAAATCTAGAGTGACTGTACTGGATAGGATGGAGTCACTCCATAATTACACCAGTGTGTACGCAGAATTTGTCCCATGTGGTGATGGTTATTCTTTTTGTCTGTCTGCATGTTTTGTAGCTTTTCATGCCCCTGCAGCTGTTTTGTGTAGACACCTGCCCTCCAGACTAAGACCCGATTTGTACATTTTTACCAAAATGATTTGTATGCTGTGCAGAAAGGCAGATGAGTTTATATGGATATTCCAAAGACGTCGTGATTTAGGAAGTTGGACAGTGTTTTGAGATGTGGAGCATATCAGTATATCATACTGAAATGTTTGCCTTGTTTTTATAAACACAGGGAAGGTAGGTAAGCTTTTATTCCACGCTCGCTTTGATGATTTTGCCATTGAGCTGCTACGTTCGGCAAACCAAGACAGAAAAAAGGGGGAGGGAGAAAAATAAGAAATTAACACCACGTTTAGTCATCGCCATTAAAAATGCAAGATATGTAGAGTGTTTCTGCACCGAGTTCACACTAGATCTCATTCTGCACAAATCATTTTTACTGCTGTTGCATCAACGTTAGGGCTCAACATATTCTTTAACCCTTCTTAACCTTCTAAATGACTTGTTTTGCCTTTATCAATAGAAGACTCAAAAGGCTGATCAGGGTGCACATCAGCTGTCACCAGATGGACCCACGTTCAGGGACAAGTTCAGGTGTTTCATTCCCCTGAGTTTCTCTTCAGGCATAATTGGGATCAGTTCTGCTGACAGCTGAAAAGCTGAGATGTTAACTTTAAGAGCTGTTATTAACCATTTTTGCACTTCCTACGTCAAAAGCTTACATGAGGAAAACAATTACAGCTTAAATCATTGAAGTAATACTAGTTTTCTTAGCGAATAAATATCTTCTTAAGAGTATCAGAAAAAAACATGACTACTATAATATGGTGAATCTTGGCTGTGCATATAACACTGAAATCAGTGAAGCCCCGTAGTTTGTGGCTGCTGAGGATTTGGCCCAAAGAAAAGACCTCAGGATTTGACTGCATATTGACACGAAGCAAACGCAAGCTTTTGGCTCATATCAGTCAGTCGCCAAGAGGTGTGTCAGCCTCCCGCAGCTGTCCGCTTATTACTGGCCTCCAAGTAGAATATGTCCTATTAATGTCACCCTCTGAGCCTGATCATTTAAATAGTTTTTCAGCCATCCAGATGGTAACGTACTGACTTGTATATGGTGATTTTGTCAGAGACGGTGGCAAAACCCTTTCTAAAGTTGAGGTACATGTCATCCACTGGTCTCCCTCATCTGCAAGTCCAATCAGTTTATCGCAAAAAGCAATCGGGTGGGTCAGACATGATTTGCCATTGGCAAATCCGTGCTGACTGTTCCCAGTCACTTTCTTCTCCCTCACGTGCCCGGAAGTGTGTCCCGAGAGGACACGCTCCGTGATTTTCCCAGAGACTGAAGTGAGGCTGCCTGGTACTCAACTGTTGGTACGCCTCCTCTTGACTGTGTAACTCTGACAGATCCGGTGGAGGAGACTTTTTTTCCTCCTGTGCCCCCACAGTCCCTTGTCTTTCCTACGCGAGGGCACAGTTCAGCTTTTAGGAACTGTGCGTAACTGCTTTACGCCAATAGGCGACAGTGATTAGTTTCTGATACTCGGTCATCTGTTGCGTAGACCGAGGTCATATTGAGTGAAACTGAGTCTGGACTTGCCGTTATTCTGGGAAGAGATTCAGATCTGACCTTTTCATTTGGCCATTTTGGTAGAAAAGATTAAAATGTTAAAGCAGCACCATGACCATCCTATTTCTTCCTTCTTTCCAAAGCAGAGCTAGCGGAGTCTCTTTCAAGGAGCTCGCCATTTGCTTTTTGAAAGATAGATGTTTAACTTGTTCCTTTTTTAACCAAGAATTAAACTGGAAGCACATGAAATGGCTGCCTCAATTAAAATTAATATTAATTTTGTCAGAGAATGAAGCACGGTAGTAAAATGTATTAGTAAATGCTGACTTCATTGTGTTATTAAGTATATTGGCCCTATGAAACTTGGCCAATCAACGCAACCAGGCTAGGGCACCCATCTGCTTCACTTGGAGTAGGACTCAGGCCACAAAGTATATTGAGAAAAACTGCAGAACTACATTTCCATTCTGGAAGTAGTGCCAGTGTCAAAATGTCTACTGAAAACCAAACCACAGGTTCTTTCCATAACCCTCATTGCTGTTCGTAAAATGTTAAAGAAACTGAGCTGAAAAGATGCCCGTGGAGAATTTCAGGTGGGGACATAGTCATAATCCAAACTAACCAACCACAATTTCTTTCAACCAAAATATTTCATTTTAAATGAAACCATTTTCTCACTTTGCCAAATCCCCTTGCCTACCTCTCAATGTTTTAATACATCCATATCTTAGCAATAAACATTGATAGATAGAAAGAAAACAAACCTTGGCTGACAGGATAGCAGAGTTGCTTCTGCCAACTCATCAAAGGCCATTAAGCGTGCAAACCAGTAGTGATGAATATTCGTCAATTGATGAAAGAAGATTTTCTCCCCACAATCAGCAAATTCAGATACTGCTTTCAGATGCAGACTGCTGTTTGTGTGCCAAGATGTATGTTTTCAAAAAGTGGGCACTAGTCTGGAGAGCCTCTTTTCAATGCATTCACCTGGCTGCCCCTGAAGAAGGCGGCTACAGAACCATCTTGGGGGCTCGTGATCTAACTCAGGAATATTGTTCCAACCTTTGAAGTTGAAAGTCACAGCGGTACAACTCCAAGAGTGTCTTTGCAGTTGCATGGACAGCAGACTGGCTGACTAAAAGCCTACTGTTGAGTGTGGTGAACGGCTCTTTAGGTCCTTCTCCGTGCATTGACGAGAAGGGCGTCATGGATACCCAGCTAGAAGACAGACGCCTAAAGCTAGGTGTCTTAATCTCCGCAAATACGCACCATTCATAATAGTGAGCGCTTGTGGTGGTCCCCTGTTAGAATTCTAGAAGTGCTTGAAGTGGTTGAGAATAGGAGGTCCGCTGACTCCCATTTCGGCACATTGCCCTGCACTTCTGCTCTAGTAGTTCAGAGGAGCTTTGGAAAAAAAATCTTACTCCACTTTAATAATGCCTTGTCTTGCGCTGAAAACTGGTACTTCCTTGTGTATTTGCTGTGTACCGGCTGTGTGAACTAATAGTCGCAATGCAAGCTTGTAGCCAGGAATATTTTCTGCACAGTGCTGAGTGCACATTTAATATGTGCTTCAAAAACTGCAATAAGATGATGGATAGAAAATCACCCTCGTGGATTTTGAGCTGCTTAGTTTCAATTAAGCGCAGCTTTTTCCTGCCAAAACTTGGTTCACTTGCTAGATCAGGACTGGTAGACTGCATGTTTCACAGTCTCTTACACAGGAAGGCGGGAGCTGAGGGTGTTGAAGTAGACTGGGTCTTTTCAGTGCAGCATCGCTGTCCGAGCTTACGTCTGTAGCACGCTTACTGGATGTGCGTTGTCCTAACAGAAACAGTAATGCTGTCTCAGTCAGTAATACTGGGACAGTTCCCAGTTCTGAGGCAGTCATACCAGCAAGATGACCATGACAGCTGGGATGAGCTGGTTTCTTGTTGGTCAGCCGCAGCAGAAAGCTTACAGAAAATAGGGGTCATGAAGATTAAACCATCCCAAAAAGATAGAGTCTCCTGTCAATTCAGGGTAAGCTCTGGTTTTGCGTAGTACGTTGCTGAAGTGCTGCATGGTAAGCCTGATATTTATTATTAGTAGAATTATGGAGTAATTTTAGCATGCATGAGGGAGCAGGATGGAATTACAAGCTTGGACTTTGCTTATACTGATATCAGCGTTAAACCATCCTGCTGGGTTTCATGGGGATAGGAATATTGCACAAGGGACTGTCTCATGCGCTGTGAAAACAGTCACTAAAGACCAGAACAAGGGCAGATTCTTCGGTGTCATCTGCCCCTCATTGCCCCATGAGAGCAACGTAAAGAGGTGGAGGATTACCTGCAGGGAGGGGAGCTCTTTGCTGCAAAGCTGGGGGGAGCAGCTCCTCCCCTGTTTGGCAGGTACCTAAAGGAACTTCCCTGCTGTCTGCATTGTGCTCTGGGATGGCTGTGGGAAGCGGTAAGCCTTATAGCCCCCTTCCCTCCTACCGGAGCCCCAGCAAGCTAACACTGACTCAGGGCCTGTCTCGCTGCAAGTTAGGAGCGGTACATCAC